GGAATTCTGCACTGGGCATTCCAGGTGTTGCTTGTCAGGCCTCGATTTCGTCGGTTGTCTGAGGGCGAACAGAGTAATCTGTACAGCTGGGGAGTTTCTGGCTGCAAAGGGACAAGTATCACTGACCACAGCCACCACTCTGTTTTCTAGAGAGGAATGGACAAGAGCCATCCAGACTGTTGCGAACAGCTTAAAACATCAGGAGCCTGGAGACGACGCTATGGATGTCAAGTCTGGCTCGCCCAGTGACACCTCGGGAATGGAAGAGATGGAGGTGTCGATTTTGAAGTCCAGGAATAAGGTGGTTAGTATGTGGGTTCATTTGGCAGAGGACCGAGCACAGTCAGAGGGATTGGGCATTTGACGAGTTTTTCCCAAGCCTTTCGATATTCTTAATCAACCTGCAGGCGTGTTATGTCCCATCAAACAGGATTTTTCATGTTTAGCTGGTGCTACTGAGTTTTGGGGGCAGGAGTGACCTTGGCTGAACATGGCAATGCGCGTTTGGAGATCATGCCCACACAGTTCTGATTCGTTAAGCTCCCAAGCACCCACTGGGTGAGGAATGACCTGCACCCCTCCCTCTCTACGGAGTTCCACAGTGATTGCAATTTGGTGACATTACTGTATGGCAGGGAGGGGCTTAAATTTTACAAGTAAGTCAAAGCTTCAACATTTTAGAGATAGTAGGAACTGCAGATGCTGGAAAATCTGAGATAACAAGGTGTAGAGCTGGATGAACACAGCAGGCCAAGCAGCAACATTTTAGAGCTTTTTTTAGCCCAGGTCGCCATGATGTAACCTTCAGTCTCATTCCATATGAAAAGACAAGCAGTATGACTAACTTAGCTGCTGTCCCTTCTCATTCCAGACGATGAACGATTTTGACTATTTGAAGTTACTGGGGAAGGGCACCTTCGGCAAAGTTATCCTGGTGAAAGAGAAGGCCACAGGGAGGTACTACGCCATGAAAATTCTACGGAAGGAAGTAATAATTGCAAAAGTAAGTATTCACTTCGGAGGTGCATAAAATGAAGAAAGCTTTGGCTGTTTCCATCACTGTGGCCATGACCCTCCGCACAGAGCACAGTTTGGTATTTCAGTTAATCCCACTGATCTCTTCAATAAAAACCGAAAGAACTGCAGATGCTGTAAATCACAAACAACAATAGATATTGTTGGAAAGTATTGACAGGTCTGACAGCATCTGTGGAGAGAAATGAGAGTTAACGTTTCAAGCCAAAATGTTTTCTCTCTGCAGATGCTGCCAGACTGCTGAGCCTTTCCAGCAATTTCTGTTTTTGCTGCTGATCTCTTTGTCCTTTTCCTTCCATTATGACCCCAACTCAGTTCACCAGTTCCGGTTGGCTTATGTTCCTTGGCATCATCCCATGACTTTCTGACCTCCCCCTCCCCCTCTCTTTACCGTACACCTCCACATGCTTATTGTGGAAAGTGCGCTATTCCTGCTGTACACAATTGCATGGTTATTAGCTGACCGTCAATTTGCTCTTTGCCTCTTCTACCACATCCAGTAAATCTGAAGAGCGAATCAAAGTGTTCCATGAAATTCGAAGATGAGTAGTTTTTTGACATCTCTGCAATTGATTTGAGCGGTAAACAAACTGCATTGCAGTGTTTTCCTTCACTTATTGCCAATGTCACGGGTTCTCCGTTCGTTGTAGGACCATGGATGATACTGCACAGAAAGAGCCCATTTGCCCACTCTTTGAACGAGCCATCCAATTACACTCAATCCTGTTTCACCATTTGCCTGCAAATGTTCCTTCTTCAGCTCTTTATGTAATTCCCTGTTGGAAGCTATTATTGAATGTGCTTCCATTGCCCTTCCAGGCCGCACATTCCAAATGGTAACAACTCGTGTTTCTTTTATTCTATTTCCACTACTTGGTATGTCAGTAACTAGGGGTCACAATTTCAAGATAGTCAGCAAAAGAGTGAGGATGAGATGAGGTGAGACTTCTTTGCTCAGAGTTGTTAGGATTTGGAATGCACTGCTTGGGAGAGTGATAGAGGAAGTTTCAAAGAGAGCTGTATATATACTTGAAAGTGATGAAGTTAGAGGGCTACAGAGGTAGGGGTGGAGAGTGGGACTAGCTGCGTAGCTCTTTCATAGAATCCCTACAGTTTGGAAACAGGCCATTCAGCCCATCGAATCCACATCAGCTGTCCAAAGAGCACCCCCACCGCCCCATTCCTGTAGCCCTGCATTTCCCACAGCTAATCCACCTAGCTTATATCCCTGGGCACTATGGGCAATTTAATATGGCCAGTCCACCTAACCCCCACATCTTAGGACTGTGGGAGGAAACCGGAGGTCCCAGAGGAAGCCCATGCAGACACTGGGAGAACATGCAAACTCCACACAGACAGTTACCCGAGGCTGGAATCGAACCTGGGTCCCTGGCGCCATGAGGCAGCAGCGCTAACCACTGAGCCACAATGCCGCCCTTTTGGGAGCCAGTACAACACGATGGGTCAAATGGCCTCCTGTACTGTATAATTCTATGAATCTTCCTCCTTTAATGCTCATGCTGGCTTCAACTACCTTCAATCCTCGACCTCAGTGCCTCCCGGCAGGGTAATAGTCATCGAACTTGTGACCCGGGGACAACCACTGCCTGCAATACCTGTGACGCGGGGAGAGTCTGTACCAGTAAAACCTGTGACGCGGG